GACTTTTTAATTCATATTGTAATGAATAGTGTAGAAAGGCGGGGGAGGGAGGGAGGGAGGAAGGAAGGAAGGAAGGAAGGAAGGAAGGAAGGAAGGAAGGCAGGAAGGAAGGAAGGACGGCAGGAAGGAAGGAAGGAAGGAAGGAAGGCAGGAAGGAAGGAAGGACGGCAGGAAGGAAGGAAGGAAGGAAGGAAGGCAGGAAGGAAGGAAGGACGGCAGGAAGGAAGGAAGGAAGGAAGGAAGGCAGGAAGGAAGGAAGGACGGCAGGAAGGAAGGAAGGAAGGAAGGAAGGCAGGAAGGAAGGAAGGACGGCAGGAAGGAAGGAAGGAAGGAAGGAAGGCAGGAAGGAAGGAAGGACGGCAGGAAGGAAGGAAGGAAGGAAGGAAGGTAGGTAGGTTACTGATTTCTCCCTGTAATCCCAACATGCTCAAAGTTTTCTGGCCATTATAGCTAAAATCAACAGGAGTATTTGAAGATAGTCAGTACAACTCAGTCCAGATAAGTTTCCAGATTATTTGATTATTTATTAACTTGTCATTTCTGTATCTCCTTTTGTTCAGGAGCTTATGGTGGTGTGCATAATAGTCAGTAAGCCTGTATGGCTGAGAATGGACTTGAAGAATGGACTTGTCCCAGCCCTAGTCCAATTCTGTTGCCACTTGACTACCTGACTTATCATAACTGCCTCTAAAGAAGCCAGCATTGCAAGGTGTAGAATTCTTCTCCAGCTCAGGTTCAGATTCAAACTAGAGAAAAATACCTTCTCATAAATCAAGGACAGGCTTTCCATAATATCACTCCCCCAGAACAAGAATCCTTACTTTAAAAACACATGGTTGTGTAGACATTGTCACTTGAGAGTTAGAAATGTACGAAGGAATGTTGGGTCAGTATGGAAATTTAAAAAATCAATCCAATTTGGAGAAATAATCTCTTCTTGTTCAGCAATAATTAATAATCAACTCCTTGTGCGGTTTTTTGGATGGACTCCACCTGGTGTCCTATTATGTACACGGTGAACTATTGATTCACCATGTACTATGTTGTAAAATAACAAAGACAGTATTCAGTAACCATTTTAACTTTGCAACAGTAAAATTTTAGCAGGATTATTATAGAAATTCTATAGAAGAAAATAGAAAGAGGAATCAGGGTGGGAAAACCATTTGCTTTTGGTTTGTGTATTTCTAAGAATGATAAACAGAAATGCACGTCCTATTTTGCACTCAAAACGGAAGCATTACTGGGGAAATACTGTATATGCGTCAAATAACTCACATTTGTAAATGCATCCTTGGCGTTTCATTTAGGTAGACTTAAAAGCATATGAAATCTGTAGAGATATACGATGCACTTAGCCAACCTTGGCTGATCTGGAAAAACCTAAGAGTTATACCTGGTTTATAATTGGTTGGGAGACCACAAGGAAATCTCACAGCTATAGATTAGACCGGGAAGCTGAAAGAACATCTCAGAAGAAGGCAAAGTTGCAGAAGTTGCCAAGAAAACAATATGGCTATGCAGTCATCAGGAATCAAGCTCAGCTGAAAAGAAACTTTATCTGCTTTCAGCATGAAATAGACTTTCTGGACATTTTCTGTATAAAGCATGCAGGAGAGTTGATAGTGATACTAAAATCCTGGTCGTAACAGTTGCTCCGACTGTATTTCACAATTTACTGCTTTCCATTAGATTTTACAGTTAAACGGGTACCATGAAAACCCTGTTTCCCCTTCAGAGCTGTATTTTTGCCACTTTTGGACATGGGGGAGAGAAACACTCCCTCTTTTAACAAAGTCACAGGGTAGCTACAGTATTTGTGTTCCTACATTTAAGCTTTTTAAAAAATGTTAAACCTTAGTTTACCTGACCTCAGTGCAAGGGTCTTCATATGCAGTGAATTAAACTTCCCTGGTAGGGTATGTGATAACATCATTGCATAAATGTTGCATTTTCCCTGTGACACAGAGTACATCACTTGTGTCCATTTACATAATCTGCATAATGATCAGGCAAATCCTGTAATTTGTATTATTTGCATAATAACTTCATTCAAATGACATACATTGTCTCAATAAACTTTCGTATTTAACAGACATTCTTGAATAACAGACAGTCCCTCTCCCATTAGTCCATTAAAACAAGATTTCATTGTGATTTTCTTGAGTGTGTTGCCACGGGGCTGTTTATAGATATAGATATGGATATATATAAATTTTATTAAGGATTTTAACAATAATAAAAGTTAATAAAAACTGAAATCAGAAAGAGAAAAGAATAGAAAAAAGGAAGAAAAAAGTGCAGATAAGAATGGGGAAAAGGAAAAAGGAAAAAAAGTAATATTTAAAGAAGTGACTTCCGGTTTTCATCATAACAAGTACAAACTTCTTATTTCTCCACCCATAAAAGGTTACATACATGGATTACTTCTTTCCATAACCCATCCCTTATCCATTTGCAAATCCATGAATCATTAAGTTTCTATCCAGCTGTCAGCAAAAAGTCCATAAAGGATTCCCAGAATTTCATAAAGATATGTCTTATTTTAACCCTGATCAAACAAATCAACTTTCTATTCCTTCCTTTTGCTTCTAACAATCTTAGTCCTTAATTCATTCAGATGCTGTCAAAGGATTTGATCTCCCTTTGATTTTTCTTTCCCATCTCAAAGGTTTCTTCAAGTTATTAACAACCCTCCTTTGTAAATCCAGTAAAAAGTCATTATCCAGGTCATTCTCTTGGCTTATCATTTGTATTTCTATTACGACTGTCATCTCTGTCTTTTAATCCAGAATTTCTTTATTTTCCAGTAGTTCTGCATCAGGTAATATTTGTTTATCCCCTTCATCCTGTCGTCTTCCAAAATGTTCTCTTTCACATCTTTCATTTCTTCTTTAAAATCTTTTGCAAATAATACATCCATATAAGCAAACATTGTTGCTGACACTGTAGCTACCAGTGTATTGTCGAAGGCTTTCATGGCCGGCATACGATGGCTGGTGTGGGTCTTCCGGGCTGTGTGGCCGTGTTCTGGAAGT